CATAGTTTCATCACCTTAAGCAAGTAGAGAAAAGAGAAGAACTGATAACACGCTATACTTCCATCATTTTAAGCAAGTAATCAAGTCTAATTCCTAAGACATGCTCATATTTCCATCTCTAGATGCTTGAGTAACATGCATTTAAAAAAGAAGTGCAATGCTTGGCTAGCGTGCTATATCGTCCACTGTACCAAGCTCCAGGGGCTCGACAGAGAGAAAACCGAAAAGAGACAAGGCACAGGGGGAGAGAAGGTTCCTACTTGAAGCAAAAAGAAAGTAACACAGAAACTTTTAAAAGCACTTCTCAACTCCGACTCCTCTTCCAACAGTAAGAGGAAGCCACCCCAAGCACAGAAAGCTAAAGAAGTAAGTGAGAAAGAAAAATGACAGAGTTTTCCCTCCTTCAAAGATTTTTTTGGCCTACTGAAATGCTCTAAGTAGAGCTTAATATAGATGGGAGAAGGAGGAGGAGCGATCGAAAGATCATATACGGTTCGAGGAATCGAACGGAGCAGACGCTCCATGCGGGCGGCTCAAGAAGCAGAGAGTAAGATCCTCGCAGGGGATAGAATCCACGACAATGATAAGGGGATGGGTCGTCTGCGAGCTTGTCTCGCGTGCGAGAGGGATGAGTGCTGGAATCCAGCGGCACAGACGGGCGAGAGACGGACCGAGCGAATGAGCCACGTTAGGGCCAAGGCCCGCGGGTTCAAGAGAAAGAAGAGAGGGGGGAAGATAGATTTAGGTTTAGGGATTAATAAATATTATTAATTATAATAATAATAATATTATTATTATTATTTATTATTATGATTAACACCTCAATGTATATTTTTTTTCCGGACGTGTCGTTGCGGTAAAACGAACATCCTCTTTAGGCAAAATCGACGTTCCGGACGCGTCAGCGCAGTCCGTTTCGTCATCTGAAGTCGTTTAGGCAACCTCATCGACGATCGTGATAAAAACGTGTCGCCACCCAAATCACGTCAAAAACTCGGCTCGAGCTCAATCAAACAGGACGGCGAAGAGCACGATGGCGCCAGATCCACGCGTACTGTCAATCCTAAGGCCATCAGTCCTATAGGGATGCTCCTTGAGCTTCCTCACAGTAGCCCCACCTACTAAGTGCTAGAGTCAAAACTACTATGCAGAACGTCAAGTCGAGCGAAGAAAAGCTCAGAATTTCTAACAGAGAGGGTTCCTTTGCTAGTTTTTATAGGAATAGTCGACAGAAAAGTTCTACGGCTAGATCCTAGGCTATCAAAAAGGAGAGACTAGATATCCGCCAAAAGTGAGGTCAACACATCACCAAAATAATCATCATCCTTCACCACACCAATCTTCATCAATGAAAATAATCTTATCCTATCATATATCCCCAAAAAAAAAAATTGTAAAACAAGGATGCAAACAGGTGTTTTCATATTATGATTCATTCAGGCATTCAATGCTATTGAAAAACGTAATACAACTCTAGGCATTCAATGCCATTCAAAAACATGATACAACTCTAACGCAAGGCCATAGCAGAATAATGTTATTTGTGATGCATGGTTATCAAAATTCAAATTGGCAGCTTCATTATAGTAATCTAGAGAAAGATTAACAAAACAAAATCCCAATGAAAGAAAAAACCAACAGGGCCTAGAAAACGTATTATAATTCAAGGCATAGGGTTCTATTAATGAGCAACTAATTATAATTCAATACAGGCCTATATTAAGAAATGATATCCTAAATGATCTCTATTGCAAGTATGCAATACATTTAATTAAGAAAATGATCAAACCAAGTAATGTCAAGATAACGATTGCTAGTAGTAGAAAAGTACCTTGATTGTTGAGTGTCCACCAATAGCTATCTCCTCCGTGAGAATGGAGAAAGACTGCCGTGACAAATTCATATTAAGTTTATTCAGTTCTAAATTTCATGAACAACGATTATAGGATCTAGTACAAGAGCATCAAGCAACAAAAGAACATAAGTTACCATAAAGATTTGAAAATACAAAATAATATAAGCCGAATGATGATGGAAGTTCTGTAGGATTCAAACAACAGCAGAGATTATAAAGTAACGTGAAAACTATGCTTTTCAAAATAATAAAAAAATATAACTTAGCGAGAAATTAGATTGGAGCATATAATACATGCTGGATAGCAGAAGAAATGGAACTAAAATACGATAGGTTATAGAATTTTTCGCATGTTTTTATAAGAAATTTTGATTGAAAACTACAATAACAAAACTCTATCAGTTAGCTATGTCTTCTCTCAAACAAATACATAAAGGCCAGCTTGTAGAGCAGATTTCATATTTTAACCCCGATTTTCTAATATTTTTCTTCTTGTTCAACCATGCATCTAACTTACTAGAACACTTTCAACATCCTAACTCCAAAACATTCTCATACCACATTTCAAGATGCAAGTAAAGGTGTATCGGGGGTGATAACAAAACTAAGCAAGCAATAGAAATAAAACAGCTTGATATTAAAATAACATTGTTATTTGTCAGCTGTTACTATATATATGATAAAAAGTTGTATTTTAGTATCCAGGCCCACCCTTTTTAGCAAAAACATATTTGCTACCTCAAAAACTTGTCATGTAAAAGTATCATGAAACTCTAATTTATTTGTGAACCTAAACTCCTTTTTTATCATGCCAAATGTGTTGATTTTATTGATACTTTGTCCAAGGGTGCACTTTGTTTTTGTGCTATCGTGCTAGAATAGAAAACTAAAAGCTATTACATATAAACACTAGCATTCCAATCCTCGAGTTTGATCATCTTAAGCATGTATACATTCTATTATATAGCATAACAAAAAAGTGTCAAGGGAGTAGAAAAGTGAAGGGCTGGACCTAACATTAAAAATTGTTCAAATAGATTTTTTTTAAGAGGGATCAACAAAAGGCATCTCCTGAAGAGAAGGTAGCGGCTGCGAGAGAGGGAGAAGAGAGAGAGAGAGAGAGAGAGAGAGAGAAAGTTGACAAGTTTGTTGGCAATCCTGTTGAATGTTAACGCTACATGTGATACCTTCATCAAGCTGCATGTGATGAACTAGTTGACCCACATAACAACCATGCATGGTGACTTAGTCATTAACGTATGATATGAATAAAATTAACATATATTGTATTACAAAGCTAATTTTTTTGAAGGATCAATCTTGAAAATCAAAAACATGTTTTCATAAGAGATTGAGAGAGTATGTTGTTTTGTATGGCTTGTGTTTTTTTGCAACGATGCTATCATGAAGAGTCAAACTTCCTTTTGTTGTGCAATGGTAAAACATATTTAGCTTGTAGTGCTTCATGCAATCTACTATACATGACTTCTTGGTGTGGCACGACAACTTCCAGCACCCCATTCATTGAAGTGATGCAAAAACACTATCAAAATCTCTCCAAGAAATCGGAAAAAAAGTTATCTATGTATAACTAAGACGATATGAAAAATAGAACCATGAACTTGTGGGCTAATGAACTTAAATTTGCTAAAAACAAAAATGTACAAATGTCGTAAAATAAACAAGATAAATATGAGGCAAAAATTTGCATGTACTACAAGCTCATTGTCATCAACAAAAAAGACCAAAAACTAGAATCAAAATATAACTGAAAGTGAAAATACATGTCTTTCGATGCCATTTTAATTTGAGTAAAGTTGGCCTATAAATTATGGAAATGTACATTTTAATTCAATTGGCAAACCCAATCCACCGAATAAAAGTTATTAAATAAACATCACCTGTCCCAAATGAGCATATTGAACAAATTCTCCAATTGTTCCTCATCAAAAAAAATTTTTCAACATAAATCAAGGTTCTGTATCTTCCCCAATCGAACCAACTTATTTCAACAAGAACCCAAACAACTCTGATCAATCACAATTGATCAAGAGATACAAAAAAGATTGTCAAGGATGGATGGAAAAACCTTCAAGAACAATGAAAAACATAAAATGATCCATACCATTGTAGTGAAGGCATGCTGTTGCTTTAATTTGCATGCCAACATATTAGGCCATCAATATGAAGAAGAACATGCAAAATCCACCTTCTAATCAAGAACTTAAGAGAACATGTTTCTCTTTAAGCTACAATCTCTTGATCAATTGAACACAAATCAAACACATTCTCGAATCAGAATAAAGGGCCACTCTACATCATGACTAGCATAATTCCCAATAAAGTTTATGCTATCAATGTCCGCTATGACCCTACAACAAATTTAACAAGATACTTAAAAACTATTCTACCTTTATGATAAGAAAAATTGTCAAAATTTCATAATCATATGGGTTCACTATCAAAATTAAGCCATTGATTATAAATCAAAAATCGAATCAAGACAGATACTCCATTGCCCTTTCCAATCAACCTAACGATAGGCTAATGTTAAGAATAAAAATCCCCATTCAAAGATAAATCAAATCAAAATGTCCTCAGTTTAATGATGGTTTCAATTATGACAAATCAACAACATATCAGGTTAAAATGGGTTCAACTCATAAATCATAACATGATGAATTAAAAATATTATCAAAGCTCCCAAGTACAAGGAAAAATTAATTTCAACACTTCCCTCTAGCAAGGATTTTGTAATTTAAAAAACATATAATCCGGAGCCTATACATCTCTAACGCTTTTAGGTGCTACCACCCTTTTCCATTCTGTTTGCGCATATTCCTACCCTCTCCTTTCCCAGTTTTCAAAACAATTCTATTTCTAAAACATTATGCTTAGAGAAAAAAATTACATTGCATTTGTCATCAAAAGAGCCCCGAACAAAAAATTTAATATTTTTTGGGTTATAAAAACAGATCAGGAGAGCTAATATGCTACTAATCATACTGCAAGTAAGAGTGAAGAAGTGACCTTAAATGTCTACCCCTTATTTTTGTAATTACTAGCACTGCTTTACAAACTGCAAACCAGTGTTCTCTTCTCATCAAACCAATGGTAAGGATTAGATCATGAACGAGTGGCTACGAAGAAAGGGAATTTTGAGGCAAGCTTGGGAAAGGAAACTTATTGTATTTATAGTTCATGGGTGGTTGCAAGTTTTAAGTAGTATTCAAAGTTTTTATTATGACCTGGAGTGGTAAATATAAATTTCCTAATTTTTAGAAGTATAGTATGCATGAAAAGAATGCAAAAGCGAAGAAAACTAAGCTCACTGCAGAATTAAGAAGGCTTTTTGAATCCCTGCAAAGTTGACTAGCCTCACCAGAACAGTTTCTTGTTTCTACGATAAATGGAGACCATGCCTGCATACCCGAGCCAAGAAAAGTTAAGCCAGAAACAATCAACCCCAATGACTAGAGAGTCTTCTACAAGGCCTAAGATTACCTCCTTATTCACCACAGGTACCCAAGCTCCGCTGGAATCAGTCTCCAAATTATCTGATTCCCTTAAATAGACACTAGGATAGCGCTGTAGAAGATAAATGCGCACTTCAACTTCAAATTTTGCTTTCATTAGGTGATCATCAAAGAAATTCACTAAGAAAATTGTGAAAAACCTTTTCCAAGTCGGTTAGGAGCTGGAAACTCGCAACGGCCAGTTCAAGAGAGTTGCCCTCTTTAAGGATGCGGAGAATCGCATCATACATTTTCCTTAATAACAAGAAACCAAGCTCAACAGGTTAGAGTAAATAGCACTCGGCTTCTAAGTTTGCAGGACAGAGAAGTAGTAAAGATAAGGATACCAGGTGGGAGGGGAGGGAGTAATCGAAGCAAGAGATGCGCCACGAACGGCGTCCAAGAAAGAGAGTCCTGCGCCGGTGTAAGGGTTATATATGCATATAAGAGAAGAAAAATGTAGAGGAGAAAGAGAGTACTGACTATCTTCATGGATATCGCAAGCTTCCCTGATGCCGGATGAGTCGAGGATTGCCAAGGTGTTGCCCTCCAACCGGTGGGAATTTTTTCTAAGGTTGTCCATTCCTGCACTAGGCCAGGAGATTGTAGATGAAATGGATTGTTTATACCTAATGAAGAAATATTTGGAGTGCGAAATATTTTTGAGGGGAGGAATGGCCGACCCTTCCCCTGTTCCCGCCGAAATTATACCCGCTTTATACCATGGCTAGTAAAAATCGTTGTCCACGTTTTTATGTGTCGAAAAATCAGAACTATATCTCGAGTGGGAGCCTCTTTCCTAACCAACGATGTTGGTAATTGCAGTTCACAATAAATTATTGCATAATAGTTGTCCCAAGAAATTATTCCAGGAAAGCTATTGTGAATAATTTGTCTGATTGTTTCTTCTCTACGGTTTGAAAATAATTGTGCTCGGTGTAGTAATACAGTTTGTAACAGAACTGTCATAGTCATATAAGTAAAAATTCACATCATAACAGTACAAAAAATAAAATATACACATCACTTAACAGTGATTATCAAGATTGCTAAAAAAAAGAAAAATTTTATTAAAATTATATTTAATAATATGATAATCTTGTTTTTGAAATGCAGACGTCGTATGTCACGAGTTACGCTGCCCTTCAAAGATGTTATCCATACCCAATCATTATTGGCAGTGGAATCTATTAGACTGTCTACCCACAGGAAGAAGTTGCAATTCTCTGTGATTCTCCGTGGGCACCTGTAGAACTGTCTTCGTAGCTTTGTGTCTAACGTAACGTAAGTTATAAAGTCTAAAGTCCACATTGCTAGAGAAATCAGTCGGAGGTACCTGAAATCCCGGAGCTATCTTTTCTAAATGTTACAAAAGACAATTCATTAGTCATAATAGAAGTTGAAATTGCTAAAAGTTGTAATTAATTAAAGTTTTTGCAAGCGTGAGGTCTCAGGGAACTCAGTATACCAACGAATGAATCTGTCACTACAAGAAGACAGCAGAACTTATAAAAAAGGGTTCTTAGTTATTCTTAAGCCACATAAAACGAAACTCGTTTATGTCATCTATGCATTTCACCAAAAAAGACCATCCAGAAGATCCTCACAAACCAATTCGTCGAAAAGAAGAGAGGAACTTGTTTGATTTTCATTAGAATTTCATAAGTGACACCGACCAACAACGACTAACATGTCATCCAGAAGAACTCATAAGGTTAAATGTCTCATCATTGATTTAATCCCACCAAAAAAAACTAATAAAATGCTAATGGGAAGAAATAAAATACTTACAAATAGCGTAAAAAGTCCGAGACAATCAATGTCAAATATAAAAGGAACGGAAATAAAGATGAACTGTACAAAGAATAAATAGAAATTGATAGAAAAAGTAAATAATTACAGTTTTGTGTAGACGTCAGGTCTTAGAGAACTCAGTATACCAACCAACAAATCTGTCACTAAAAGAAGATAGTATATCATATAAAAAAGGGTTCTTTGTTGTCTTCAGGCAACCCATGTAAAACCAAGTTGGTGTCTCTCACATATGCATATCACCAAAAAATGTCATCCAAAAGTTCCTCAAAAACCATATCGTTGAAAAGAAGAGAGGAACTTGGTTGTTTTGATTAGGATTTCACTTGTGACGCCAACCAACAACAACTAACAGGTCATCCAAAAGAACCCTTAAGGTCAAACATCTCATCATTAACCTATCAAACGATCAAAAGAAAAATAAGTGAAATTCAAATGGAAAAAAATATATATAAAGTAAAAAAGCTCAAACAATCAATATAAAATGTAAAGTACAAATGGTTTTGAATAAAAAAAAATAAAGTATAATTAGTATTAAATAAAGATGAAATACTTCAATAACAACCTTCTACTTTCACATCTATAATTTGTTCCCTCAACTCTATCATCTCGTAATCACCTTCCTCATCTTTATTATAGGTGGTGGAAGTATCATTCTCAAGCTGTGACAAAGAATTTCCATGACGGTGCTCAAATACCTCAACAGGTACATGTTCATGATCCTCATCCACACTACGCAAGTCAATGTCATTATGAGAAGGATGCCGCCAAATGCAATTATGGAGAGTCATCGTGACAAATCAAATCTGCATCTATTTGGGAAACAAGTAGGATGACATATCGCGGAGTATAGCCCATTTATTCTTTCAAACAGCAAAAGTACTCTTAATGACACCGCATAAGGAGGAATGTCATTTATTGAGCATTTCTTTTCTATCTTGTGTTACATTGCTTGCTCACTCAAAGTACGGTATGTGATAGCTCGTATTAGGATAGGGCGTGAGATACCTTCACTATAACGGATATACAACATCAACCAAGTAATATTTACCAGATATGATTTGCATAATTAATATTGAGGTATAAATTAAATTACGAGATTGGCTGAGATTCAAGCGAACCTGCAAGAGGATGTGGGTAGTTGTAAGTGGCATTCCACGTTTCTACTATCATATGCACTACCTTCCCAACCGGGCATAATAAAAGTGAAGCACATGCTGAAGTCACAGATGAACATGACATTCTGCATCAGGCTCCCACAACGGCCAATGAATGCAATCTTCTCATTGTTTGGAACACATGTGTCAACGTGTGTTCTATCAATTGCTTGTAAATTAACACAATACAATCATTGTAAATTAACATTGAGTTCATAATAATGGTGCATTTTTCAAAATTAAATGTAATGAATTTGAAATGTTACCTTAAAGAACGACATGCATCTTGCATCGCATGAAATCTCTGTAGGGATCCGTTCGAACCTATTAACAATAGGTTTTATGACTTGTGAAGCCACCATCATAAATACATAAAACCCACAACCACATTACAACACAACCAACACTCTCTTATAACAGTCACCACCACAACCACATAACCGCAGCCAAAAACCCAAACAACAACCACCACCAAAACCATAGAACCCAAAGCCACATGACAACACCGCCAGCATCCCAACCACTACCAACACCCCCTTACAATGACCACCACCACAACTACATACCCGCATCTAACATCCCAAATAATAACCACTACCAATACCATAGAATCCACAACCACATCACAACAGATCCAACACCCCAACCTCAATCAACATCTCAAACAATAGCCACTGTCATACCCACAATCACATCACAACACAGTCAACACCTCCTTACAATAGCCACCACCACAACTACATAACCACAAACATTATTCAAAACAATGTCATCACCAAAACCATAGAACCCAAAGCCACATCAAAGCATAGTCAGCACCCCAACCACAGCCAGCATACTAAACAACAACCACCACCACACACATAGAACCCATAGCCACATCACAGCACAGCCAACACCCCAACCACAGCCAACACCCCCTTACAACTGTCATCACCACAATCAAATAACCACAACCAGCATCCCAAATAACTGTCATAACTAATACTATAGATCCCATAGTCATTTCACAATATACCATCACCCTAATCACAGCCAGTACCCCAAACAATAGCCAACACATCAATCATAGAACCACACACCCCAATTAAAAGGCTAGTTAAAACTGAAAACACCAATCCCAAAATCGTAATACTAGAGAGAAGTTCACACACACCCCAATTAAAAGGCTAGTTAAAACTGAAACCACCTAAATTGAAAATTAGTAAAAAAATAATTGAAAGGCCATTCATTGAAAAATCAATACAAATGGGCCAATTAAAAAAAAAACAAGAGAACAACCAATCCCAAAATCGTAATACTAGAGAGAAGTTCAATCATAATATCAGATGTCAAAGGAGAGGAAAGGATCCAACAAAAAGCAAGACACCAATCACAAATAGATAGAAGGAGGAGACTAGGGAGGGAGAAGCTTGACACAAGAATAAGGAGGGAGGATTGGCCGCGAAGGAGGGGAGAGGCTTGAGCACGAGAAGGGGGAGGGAGAAGTGTCATAAGGAGGTAGGATAGTAACAGAAGTTGTGATACACCAAAACAATATGTTCTTTTAAGTACACATTTTATGTTTATTTTTTTGTGATAGTGCACTTTAAAGAATGATTTTTTCATGTTTTTTTTTAGTAACAGAAGTTGTGATACACCAAAACAATATGTTGTTTTAAGTACACATTTTATATTTATTTTTTTGTGATAGTGCACTTTAAAGAATAATTTTTTCATGTTTTTTTTGCAAGTATATTATAATTAGGCATTTGGAGTAAAAGTAGAAAAAAAGACGAAATTTGGAGCCAAAACAACAAATTTTGGGAATTTTGGCGCAAGAAGTGTCAGATTGGTGCCAGATTAGCACCAGAAGCATCATTTTAGAGAGAGCTGGTGCCAGATTGGCGCCAAAAGCACCATTTTACACAGAGTTGGCGCCAGATTTGACACTTGAAGCACCAAAACCCATAACATCGGGATTTAAGAAAGCTGGCACTAGATTTACTAGAACTGGCGCCAGATACACCAAAGATGACTTTTTGCTGATTAAGGCGGTTCAAAATAAATTTTGCTAGAATTTTCAAAGGGACACTTATTCTAAACTTCCCTTGGAGTGATTTAATGCATCTAGACAATTTGGAAGTTTCTTTTATGAAGGGATATATCTCTTGGATTAATAGACATGTCTTTTGAATTCAAAAGGGTTGACTTTTGGATAGAATTTTGGAGGGAATTTTGAATTCTTTTTGGAAAGAATTTTGAATTCTTTTTGAAGGGAGGGAGTCTTTAATAAGAGAGGGTTTTTGAAAAGTTTTAGGGGGTGTGGCGTGTAAGTGGGGGTGAGAGAGTGAGAGAAAGAGAAAGAGAGAGAGAGTCAAGGGCTTAGAGATTTTCTTCAAGGATTGTAAGAGGAGAGGGAAGACGAGAGATTTCTTCTTCATTACACTTATAAGAGAGAATTGAGAGTGTTTGTAAGGAGAGAAAGACTTGAAGAGAACTTCTAGGGGTTTTCTTAGGAAGGATTGTGAGATAAGTTATGTCTTTTATTTCTTTTATTTTGTAAACTTGTTTTTATATATGAAATCCATGTTTTATTGTATCCTTCTCATGAATTCTGAGTAGTCTTCTTTATCCTTCTCCCTACTTTGAGATATGGTTTTGTGAAAAATTGATTATATTTTATACCGTTTTAAATATAAATAATTTGTGATGATTTGAACTTCGAT